TATATATATATATATAAACTGGTGTTGGGTAAATAAAATGTTTAAATATGAGGTGGATGTGAAAGTGTCAAAGCAAAGTCACGTCCCTATAAAAAGAAGAGTAGCTGACCCTTTGTTTTTGCTTTTTTATGACAACATAATAAGAAATAATGTGTTCTTGTTCACCCCAATTCAGACAAAGTTGAGATGTCAAAAATTCATTTCAGTTTCTTTAAATAGCATCAAGTCACAACAAAGGTCATCTCAAGGTGCTGTAAACAAAATAATCAGTCGAAGGAAGCCAGTAGGATGTGTTGAGTCTTCTCTTCATCAATCTCCCATCCTCCCTTTTGACACGAAGAAACCTCCATCAGGACGGGTCGGGAGGCCGTCTGTCTCAACCAGCTGGGATTGAGGGGGCAGGAAAGAGACACAGACAAACACGACAGGGACTGGTCCAGTTGTAGTTTCCTCTGGAGGAGAAAGAAAACATACAGGTAGAAATAGTTAAACACATTTAAAATGAACCGAAACAAAGTGGAAACTGTTCTCTGGAAACCATGAACATCATGTTTTCTGTGCTAAAAAAGGAGAGAAATGAACCCTCAAAAGCCTGCCTCTCTGTTGGTATGGGGGTGCATTTCTAAAGTAATGGTAGCTAACTGGAAACGCACAATCAATACAGAAAGGTGTAAATATACTTGGCACAAAAAGTCAACAAATTAGTGTTTGGTAGATTATTTCTTTGTTGCAACAATAAATCTTATAGCAGCACCTGGAGCTCAAAACAAGTGTCAACAACAGCAAAATGAGCTGTTTGACAGAGAAGATTAGGCAAACTTTACATGTGCACAACCCACACACTCAGCTCTACTGCTCATCCCACAAATGCATGTTCCTTACAAATGTGGCACCATTTAAAAGGGACTTTAACAGACTTTCCAATGGTTTAAGATTTACTAACAAGCAGCAGTGTTACAATAATTCAGCTTCTCCAGTAAAGCAGACCCAGGACTGCTGCTCAGCTAGAATCTTAGATCAGAAAACACGATCCTCCAAAACCTCCAGCAGCTGCTCTGTGCTCCCAAATGTTTACAGGCTGTCGTTAAAAGAAGAGGAGAAGCTTCGTTGTGGTAAATGTGATTATATCCTAACTTTTTTTTTTGAAAAGTTGGAATTCAAAACTCATGTATTATTATAAATAAGCACTAAAATGTCTAACATTGCTGTTTTGTTCAGAGTTTTAATGTATTCGTGTTGTTTCTGTCCAGGAGTCCGGCCTCCGCTTTCACTACGTCGCAGCTGGAGAGCGAGGGAAGCCCCTCATGCTGTTTTTGCACGGCTTCCCTGAGTTCTGGTAGGTGGACGAAGTCCGGGTCCATTGCACTCTGCTGCAACCCAAACTGTAAGGTCTCCTGTGCTCTGTGACTTCCTCATCTCTCTGAAACTTCTCCTGACTCGGAGAAACTCTCAGCTGCAGCTCTGCCCTGCAGTCTGACTCGTGAGCTGAAAGCACAAATCCACACTGGCCTCATTCACAGACACGGTTTGCCATCGCGGGGGGAGACGGGTCTAAGGTGCTGGAGATCTCCTCCTCCTGACACGAAGTGAAAAATGATGTTGAGCGTTGTGCCTGGATTGAGGCCAAGGAGGTTGTCAGGAGCTATAAGCCTGTCTGTATCTCTAACGTTGTATCTCAGCTGAGGGCAGAGCGGGGATTCATTATCAGCAGGCAGGAGTGCTTTCTGTTTCACTTTCCTTTTTCTTTATGGAAAACATCTCGTCCCCAGCGGGTTACTGCCTAAAATGAAGTGTGCTGCTCGTTGTGGGAGCACTGATTCAGCATCCACCTCGGTTTCTGTTTAAATATTTCATACGCTTTTTGCAAGTTCGGTACATCTGTATACTTTATACTTTTTTACCCATATCTATTCAGCTCATTCAGAAGATGGCTGCTTTGTCTCTTAGTTTTTGTAACGTTACATATTAAACTTTATTTACATACATTTTCCCACAGAAACGCATTGAGATTTCTTTCATACCTTCAAAATCCTCCTTCCTTTCAGGGTCACGGGGGTCACTGATGGTCCAGCAATGAGGGGCACGGGGACACCCTGGACATGTCGCAGGTCCATAACAGAGACACACAGAGATTAAAAACAACCATTCACCATCTCACTCACACCGAGACACAGTTTAGAGTTACCAAATAGCCCAACAGTCATGTTTGTGGGAACAAACCAGAGTACCCAGAGAAAACCCACGCATGCATGGAAAGATGCAAACTCTACCCAGACAGGTCCCCGGCCAGGATTCAATCCAGTGAGCTTCTGTCAAATTATTTTTCTCTTTAAAATTATCTGCAGCATTGCTTCATTTTTATTATATACAGTCATATGAAAAAGATTGGGCAGCCTTGTTAATCTTCCTGATTTACCTTTATAAATCATTGATTGATTGGATTTAAAATTTTCTGTTAAATATATCATATAGGGGACAAACACAATAATATTTGAGAAGTGAAATGAAGTTGATTTGATTTACAGAAAGTGTGCAATAATTGGTTGAACAAAATTAGGCAGGTGCATAAATTTGGGCACCAAAAAAACCTTAACTCAATATTTAATAGATCCTCCTTTCACAGAAATAACATTCTCTAAATGCTTCCTACAGCTTCTAATGAGAGTCTGGATTGTGGCTGAAGGTATTTTAGACCATTCTTCTTTACAAAACATTTCTAGTTCATTCAGGTTTGATGGTTTCTGAGAATGGACAGCTCTCTTTAAGTGACACCAC